ATTTTTCAAGCAAAKCAAGGTTGATGTCAGGGTCAGAGATAAAATGATGAGACCGTTCGTTCCAGCTGGTCTGTGATGCACAGGAAAAACAAACTCGTTGGCCTTGACTGAGTTTAATGTTGCAAATTTCTTTAAGATCAAAACTGCAGCAAAATGTTTGCAGCTAATCCTCTGTGAAGTCTACGCTTTGATAGACCCATCAAATTATCTGTAGTCATTATCAAATTAGCAGAATAGTGTTGGAGATCAGAGGGGTTGTGTGGGCAGCAGACCGAAAGTGGATTTGACCCACAATCAGTAGAACAAGCATTGCAAGAGCTTTTCTTTCAACAGTTTTGCATAAATTCATTCAGTGACAAATATGTCAGTTGGCTAAGTGASCCTTTATTAGAATTGAATTTAGCAGCAAATCTGGGAAATCCTCCCAAAGCAACTCTGGCTTTAGAATCCCAGATTTGCGTTTCTAATTAAAACGCTGTCAGTTTAAGTGTAATTCTCCATAAGAAATGAATTCAGGGAGAGGGGGGTTGCAGGGAGTGGGAGAGAACTCAGATGCTCCTCAAACAGTTTTCCAGAGGGGTTTACCCTGTACGTTTTCTAGTGATCTTGTTAATCTTTTTGCAAAAATGTAGCTTGCTAGAGAAATGATGCTGCCTCTAATATGCTGGCAAAACAGAGGCAAACTCCTGTTGGTTTCCCTTACTTTCCGCAGGGGGTAAGATCAAAGAGCAGATTGTCTGATCRAGTATTGCATTTTGTTTTAAGAAATAAGAGATTTGCTGCATGCTTTTCTTTTTCCTGTGAAGAATCCATCAATGCTACAGCTGGAACATTTTAAAAAAGAACTCACTTCGTGTGAACAAAGGGATCTTAGATTCCTTTTTGTTTTCAGCTGGCACAATGCAGTTGCTTTTGCAAGGAGAAATAGAAAAACATCATTGTYGAAGTGAGACAATGAGAATGATTAATTTAAGCTTGGTCATATGCAGTTTTTTTTCATGAGACATTTCAGAATTATCTTTTAAATGACATKTGTTGTAAGTAAGGGTTGAATATATTATAAAAGATGACAGAAAATCATATTTAAAAAGAAAGCAGAAACTAAATTGTTTATTGTGTCAAAATTATACCTTTTAGCCTTTTGGAAGTGAAGCATTAAGTAATAGAAAAATGCAAAAATACAGTGGTCCTAAATAGAACATTTTCAGAATGCTATTTTTTAAGGATGTTTGAGACCACTGTCTTTTTATTCCAATTGAGAATATTAATGTTTAATTTACAATTTCAGATTTTTCCATACTGCTGAAATTCTGGTTCCCAAACAGCTCTAATTTTAAGTAGATTGTGCACCATGAATAGTGAGGACATATTATATAATACTTATAAATCTTGCAAGGATAAGATGGGAAAGGAGCACCCCATTCTTGCAATCATTCTTTGAAGGGCAGATAGGACCTGAAGAAAGGGAGAGGACATGGGTAACTTTAGCCAGCCAGGCAGAGCTGGAAGAAGAAACTAAGAGATCTTCAATAGTTTTGCACAGGAAAGAAGAATGTGGATATAGGAGCAGTAACATAGGTTAAAAAAATACCCTCTGTAGTCTCTGTAGCTGTTTCATCATTTTCCACCTCCCCAAATCAGCCATTCATTAAAGCCTCTTATCATACTATTATCCTTGCTTGTTATTGCTTTTTTATTGTTTTTTTTTTAAATCCTCTGTTCACAAATACTAATATGATAATAAATGTGAATAGATCCAGAGGTCAAATAGACAAATCTAAATGTCAAAGCACTAACTGCTGTGCTCCGTTGTGCCTTAGTTCTGCAGAGGACTGAGTCACTACCTCTTGTTTCCGCACGGTAGAGAGCTGATTGCCTTCATGTTATGCTTGGACGAGTACGGGGACATGTGTATTTTCAGTGCAAGAGGATTTAAACCCCATACTGCCCATTAGTGAAGGGAAATGAACTTTGCTAGGGCTCAAGYTTACAGATCATTCCTTACTCAAATGGAAGGTCATCCTCTGGTATCTAGCTATTCAGGTGAGTTTTTCTAAAYCTCAAAGTGATATACAAGTGGGAGGTATATTTACTCCTCCATGACTGCTCCAACTAAAGCATAAACATAACTCTTAAGTCCCACTGGCTTTCCAGCAGACTTTTAGTTCCCAAGTACTGAAGCCACTTCTAGAAATGGTACATTATCTCCTAATTTACAAAGGCATTTTTGCAAATGTTTCCCATGGTGATAGCATTGCGCTCTCTCTTGCTCTAAGGAAGTAGCAGAACAAGATTGTAATGGATATTGTCTTTCCAGGCACTTATTTCTGGTAAACTGGAACAGGTATGGGCTCAAAAGCTGAGTAGCYAAGCTGGGTATCCAACTTGTCTTGTTTAACCTATGTCCACTGCTATTGATCCATACAAGTATTGCTTGGGACTGCCTTTGCTTGTGGGGTCATGACCGTGTTTATATTTTTTATGATGTATCTATCACTGGTCTCTAGGAGCCGGTCAGCTAGATGAGGGTTTCACCACTGTGCGTTTGCAGCAGTTGGGWTTCAGCGCTCTTAGCTCTACGTCTAGCAAGGAGAGCAAACACTGTCCATTACCAGACACGCAAAATCCTAGCCGTGCTGACGGCCAAAGCAAGATTTTATTTCCTCCCTTTGCCTTTGTTGTCCATGAGGTGAGCTCTTACCTGCTTGTGGCATCCTGTGTAATGAGAAGGACCAGCCTCTGCAGCAGAAAGAGCCTAGGGGAGATGGGTGCATGTTACAGACCCACACCCACCCTAGTTGGCTGCAATAGGAAAGAAGTTAATACCTCATCTCCCTCCTTCCCCTTATTGCTTCCAAGTCTGAATACCCATASCTGCTTTTTCATCCTGTTAATGCCAGGTGTGGAGCCGGGAAGCATAAGCCATCTGCAGCTGACAGCAGGCAGCCCCCGTGGGATAAGCCAGTAATGAATACAGCAGGGGTGTCTACAGTCTAAAGGCAGGAATCCGGCTGGCTGCAGCTGATGAAATTGAAACAAGTCGCAGAAATATCCCAGCTTCATCAGGAAAGAAGAGCTATATAATTTGCAGCTGGAGATGAATGGGATTATTTCCCATGCAAATGGGTTTTGCCAGCTCAAAGTGGCCTTCATCAACAGAAATTGTTGTATTTGACATTATCCAGTTACTTTTGTTTAATGGTTCTGTGCTTTTCGAAGTGCTTCCTTCTCTAAGTACAAATCATCCAGGCTAATTAGAAAAAGGTATTTTTTCCTCTTCCCTGTCAATCTCAAGACGTGTGAGCTGACTCCATAGCTGCCTTCCTTCCATGATCCCTTTCCAAATATGAAACGAAAGRTAAATACATTTGTGCTGACAGCCCTGCGGGCTGAGAACTCTCCGCAGCTGGGAAGCGTGGAGGTGACATTCAACTTAACTAACTTTAGCACCTTAAAAAATAGCTGTCTAGTCCAACCTAGACATCAAGGCTCCTTCGCCATGCAATAGAGATGGAGTCTCCAGAGGGAGTTCCTCTCAACCCAAGATGGACAGGATGAATCATTCCTGAGGTACCAGTTAAGTTCAAAGGAGCATCTCAGCAGCAAAACTAAACCAAACACCTCTGGCTTGGAGAGTCAAGGATAGCAGAGAGGAGCACTCCTCACCGACCTGCCTCTCCCATGGTGTTCCCCACTCCCACGGCCAACTTCAGGTTCCCTTCTCTGGCCATCAGAGCTGGGGAGGCTTAGCAAGACACTAGTCCAGGACAAGGGACCATCTGTGCACTCAATCTGTTGCTGTAATTGCCAGGAATGGTGCAGATCCATGTGAGGCACTGTAGGCAAGGGTCACCAGCATATAACCTACAATCTGGAGTCTCAATGGGCTGCGGACCCAAGAAACTCTTCTTGCTATCATACTTTATTTTCTTTTAAAGTGTGGGTGGTTAAGAAAAGGTCAACTCTCTATAGCACTGCCTTGGAGATAGGTCCTGTAGACTTACTGAAAAAAACACATGAACACTGACACGGGCTGGTCTGGGCTCCTTTATTGGAATGAGTTATCTCCATCACCATGTTTCTGGGGAGTGACCCAGGCCAGCAAAAAGACAATCTCAGGACAYGGTCTCCCTTGGAGCAATGAACAATGTTTCTCATCAACAGGTGCTGCCTAGTCAGACTGTTTGACTTTATTATAATAGCGTTATAAGTTACTTTCTTCCTGGGACAGTATTTTGCTTCTAGAGAGAAAGAGTACAAATACCTTGGGCAGAGTTCATGAATTCTGATATCATTCTAAAAATTATCTTTAGCTCTTAAAATGATTTGAAATGATTTAAATATAAATTAATGTCTGCTTGACTTATTTGTCTCTGTCTCTCCAGTGGTTATGGATAATTGTCTATTTGATTGCAGTGAGTGCTGGATATCAAGATTGTGAGCACTATTTTGAACATCTTGTCTAACCTTCTGCTGAATACAGAGAATGTGAGCAGGCAAATTATTCATTAAACCTATAGCTTCTCTCTCAGCTTCAGTAGCTTTCTGAGCTTCAGGAAGGTGGTGAGTTTTGATTTTTAAACCTTCAGGTGATGGAGGAACTAAGCAGATGATCCCGTCTGGTCTGTATGACTGGTTTGGCTCCATGCTGGTACTTTCTTGCTGTGGATGCAAGCCATTGCAAAGAGCTTGCCAGAGCTGTTGTTCAGATAGGCATGATCCTGCCACGGAATCTAAATCTTCCTGGCAGTTGTGACCACATTTGATTAATGTTATTATTGCTTACTCTGAAAGGAATTTAAAATCAAAGCAATTTCATTCACTTTTGCAAGAATATTTTTCTTGCAGCTGGTGGGATCTTTTTCCACCTCTTAATTACACTGACACCTTGGAAAAAAAGGTCAAGGAACGAAAAAGACCATAGGCTTCCAAGCAGGTGTGAACATGACTTTGGGTAAATGATGAGCCTAACTCAGCCTAACTGTCCCCTCTGTGTCCAGGTCTCTCTCTGGCCGCATAGTTGGTGGCGTCTGGTGGTTCTTCACCTTGATCATCATATCCTCCTACACAGCTAACCTGGCTGCCTTCCTGACGGTGGAGAGGATGGTTTCTCCCATCGAAAGTGCAGAGGACTTGGCCAAGCAGACAGAAATCGCCTACGGGACCCTGGAAGCTGGCTCCACTAAAGAATTTTTTAGGGTAAAAGGGAAACATTAATGCACACATTTTGAATAGCCCCTTGTTTGCCTGCCTAGAATATATCAAGGTGGTTCCTGACACAGGGAAGGGGCCCAGTGGCTGCACAATGGCAGGGCAGTGAAACCACCACTCCTGTTTGCAGGTCTGCTGTCAATATAAATTTATCACATAGATGCAGAACCAGTTTGTGGCAGMTCCTGTTTGTGTGTGAGTGGAAGCAAGGGAGGATGGAAAGTTACTCTTTGAGCCTGCCCTTTCCCTCTCCTCAAGCAGTAGGCACAGGCTTCCAGGCCTGTCCTCTCTCATCCTCTCTCCAGGACTTTTTCTTTCTCTTGCCCTTCACATGTTAGGACTTGCTGGGCTTCTCAGTAGAGCAGCAAAAGTGCAGCTGTCCCTGTGCCACTGAGAAGCCTGGCAGTGTCTCCAATACATGGGATACTCTGCAGTTGTAAAMAGAAGGGTGGTTTATCCATGAGCTTCCCCAGAATAATCTGAGCACTTCCAAATTTCATTTGCCCTATGATCATCAAAATCACTTCCCATACACAAATATCCAAGCCTGCTGTGACAGGAGGTGACAAGGTTGGTCTGGGCCCTGGTGCAGGAAACGGTGTGAGGTTCGTTAACATCCCGTTATCTGTTTGACTTCCTTGGGTATGCACTCAGTCCACCTGGAAATTTGGCTGGTACTCCAGCCCCTATTAATGCTTCTGTTGGGTTTCTGCTGTCCCATGCAGCGATCCAAAATAGCAGTGTTTGAGAAGATGTGGACATACATGAAGTCAGCCGAACCCTCTGTTTTTGTGAGGACTACAGAAGAGGGGATGATTCGGGTGAGAAAGTCGAAAGGGAAGTATGCCTACCTCTTGGAGTCCACGATGAACGAGTACATCGAGCAGCGCAAGCCTTGTGACACCATGAAGGTGGGAGGTAACTTGGACTCCAAAGGCTATGGCATTGCAACGCCAAAGGGGTCTGCACTGAGGTAAGCAGCTTGGCTTTGCTTTCCTTTGCCACATCACCCAGCTAATCAGTGTATATCCACACAGTTCAATCTCCATTGCCATGTTAATTGGAAAAGTGTGGGGCAAGGAGGTGAGGTGGAGGGGAAGGGATGGGAATACTCAGTGTGATTTGCAGTGAATTAAAGTACCCTGCTCCAATTGAGCAGCAATGGGAACGTCTGATTCTTCAAGCCCTGCATTGGAAATTGGATCCTGGCTGATCTACCTGCTATGAATGTGTCTGCTGTGTTAGGTGATGGAAGGGGGGCTGTTGTGGTATAACCATTGGTTTCACAGAGCATTATCTGGAAGGGGCGCTCACCCTGTRCCATGTGAATGCACAGCTTTGCCCAGTATGGTATTATGCTGGCTTGGAGCCATGCTTGCAGAGGGAGCGCTTGTGGGAGAAGCATTTTGGCCTTTCCCACAAGGAAATGCTGTTTGAGAGGGGTAGGAAGCTTGCTTTGAAACTCCTGTAAAAGACGTGTATTTTCCTTCACTGAGGCAATTCAGAGAGCTAGGTCCTGGCAAGCACAAAATTTATGGCAAGGCCAAAGAGGCACAAATCCTACATTTCTGAGCCTGGACCTGCAGCTGTTGCAAGCCCAGGTATTGTGTGAAATTACTTCAGAGACCTTCCTTTAAAAGTGCAAATTCTTCAAAACTGCAGACCCAGATCTGAGTTAATAGCAGAGTTTGGACACAGAACACTSCTATTCTCTTCCTATCCATGAACTTGCCCTCCTGCAGAGTGTCTTGCAAACTCGCTTGCTCAGGGCAGCATTATCGCAATCCACACACTCACAGGGTGATGAGAGTTACACRGGAGATGCTCTTCCCTTTGGCAGTGGCTGTGCACATTCCTCACGTTACAGGAATGAGGAATGCAAGTTGTAAGGGTRTGCTCAGGGATTAGTGAGTGCTCAGGGACCACAGTTTTAAGTAGATTGTCTCATTGTCTGAGGGCTTCCGTAACCRATTTAATTATTTAAGAAACATACTTTGATCAAAATACTTTGGCCAAAATAGTAGATTTGACCTTATACTTGCTTGCTGACATAACCCAGTGCATTTAATCCATGGTCTCTGGGTTACTAGCAACCACCAGAGCATTTGCTCATGCAGTTGGTTGGTCACACCACTCCTGCACTAAAACCAGCCCAGAGAATCCAAGCAGCATCACCGCGTAGTGGATCAGACCCAGGGATTTCAGTTATTTATTAAATCAGCACAAGTTGCATGCAGCGCTTCCAGTATTAGCAGTTCCTGGAGACAGCCTTAGAGAAACTCATGCATGCAATGCACGTGGTCCTGAAAGTAATTTCTCCATCCTGTGCAGTTCAGACTCTGAAATGCCTGGAGGCCTTCCAAATGAAGGTGAATATATTCCCGGAGCCTTAACATGTTTTCCGTCACACTCTCTCCAACATTTGTTTTCTATCTTGCAAATATGGAAATTAGGMTGCAAGACTGATTTTCTTTCTTTTTTTTTTTTTAAATTAGCATCAATCTTGTATCCTAATTTTGATATTACAAAAACAAACAAACCAAAACATCCTCCCTGTCTTGTAATTTCTGGCATATATAGGAGTCATTTATCAAACTTTTAAGAAAAATAAACCATCAAAAAAGGAAAAGTGCACCAATCAACTCTGCTGCTCCAAACATCCCTCTGCTAGGCATGATTCCAAATATTCCTAACATTTCCTTCCTCTTTTTCATTTCAAATGCATGTGGAACAAATTTCTTACGGGCCTAATGGCAAAGAAGGAATGCTTGATTTTTCCATTTGATGGTGTTTTTTGGAACAGTTGCTGTCAATTTTTGTCCCATTATGTTTGTTTTGTTCCTGATGTTTTAATTGTTTTAACCTAGTAGTCCCCTACAGTCATCATGTAGTGTCTGTTTTCCCTTTGGGGTCACACGCGTGAGAGCCTGCCCTGAGCAAGGTGACATTCATGGGGCATCAGTACAGCACAGTCAGCCTGTCTCTTCTTCAGACTTCATTTTAATTCACTTTCATTCACAGAGAAAAAGCTCTGACCAGGGTTGGGATGAACATATAAGCCAGACCTACCTTAGGAGATTAGGTGTGTTTTAGAAGTAGGGCTTCGTTTTGGATTTTCCTGGGACCTGTCACTTCTATAAATAGACCAGTTTTTCTGCATTAGTATAGCTGTTCAGGGAAGGATCCAAGGCAGATGTTAATTCCAAGTTAATCATAGGGTTGGTTCTAGAGGGCAATGAAATGTCAGAATATGGAAAAAAAAAATGTTAAAATACAGAAGTTCTGCTGGGCTGCTAAAAAAGCTTGTTTCTTCCTAAGTGAATCTAGCATTGAATACCTTTTGGCTTACACATGTTAACATTTACTTGCATTTAGGCATGACTGATAGAGGAGGGCCATGCTGAAAGGACAGAAATGCCACTTTTTAATACTAGCCAGTCCAAAGTGTGATCCTGATATGGTTATGGAGCTGCAAAACCCTTTCATTTACCTGGCAGGAGCTCTCCACCATTGCTAGACACACTTACGATCAAGAAGACAGAAAGCCAAGTTATGCAAAACAGGAAAGAAAATCCAAGAAATTCTATGTGAGTCTGGGTATGAGGCAATAGGGAGATCTTTGTGATGGAGATCTAGGAAGCCAAGTTCTCCAGGGCAGAAGCCTGACAGCAAAGTTTCCTGGAAATCCCATGAATGGAAGTCAGTTCTTCTAAGTCCTGTGATCAGACACAGGATAGGTGTTAAAAACCTATCTCCTTTCAGGACCTAAAACCTCTTAAGTCTTTCATCAAAATGTTTTCATGATAAACCAATGCATGATCTGGCCACTCCCTATGAGCAGAAGAGAGAGACAATTATATGGAAAGAAGCCTCCCAGGAAAAATAGGAGAAAATGCTTAGCACAGGGCCAAAAAAATCATGTGACTGATACTGTGTTCAAAGAAATGACAGTACATTTGCTTCATTAGCACCCCGTACTCACATAAAACTACACTCTGCTTTGGCTCATTAGTTAACTAATCTTTTGCAGATGGTTCAGACATCATATTGCTAATTAACCTGTACTCTGTCTTACAAGACAGAAATAAACCTGATTTACTTAGTGTCCAATGCTTTCTACATCTGCGCTCTTCAAGAGGAGGGCTGCAAGTTCCTCAGCTGAGGTCTGTTTTATTGATATTCAGGGTCTGTTGGCGGATTGTTCAGCCCCCCATGTTGTCTATGCTTTTTAAAACCTTTTCATGTTTGTGTCTCGCTCTGCTTAGCTCTCTCCCAGTTCTTCCTACAATGTCTATGCCAGAATTGCTCCTGGTACCCACCTCCTGACGTGAACTGTGCTCACGTGCAGCATCTGTTAAACTCACTGCTGCACGTTCTGCACCAACCTGGACCCTCAGAAGTTTGCTGAGATGTATGAGTGTATCTGAAGGCAGAATATGGCACAGTTTGGGCTTTGCATGCTATCTTAAGTCTATAACATGTCTCCTTTGCAAATATTAGTGTCCATTCAGCATCCAGACTCCTGCAATGTTTTTCATCACTGGGGAAATATGTGTATAAAACATTGCAGCCATCAAGAAGTCCAAGGTGCACCTGGGTGTGYACATTTCAGTGGCACAGCGACCATCTCATTGCCTCTTGGTAACATGCCACCAGTATCACTGAGCATACAGGGTCATTCATAGCTGGCCATAATCATCCAAGTGAAGGGATTCATTTCCTAAAGCAAGAGGGCCTTAAATCCTGGG